GGTGTGAAGACTCAGAGCTGAGAGGACGTGATCTGGAGGTGTGAGCTGTCTGGTGCTTTCTGTACAAGATCCTCAAGGAGTTTTACCTCCAGCCTTCTTGTCACAGGAGGGGGGTCCTTGCTGGCTGTTGTAGCATGGTCAAGGACATCAGCAGAGTATGGCTGGGCGGGGACCTGGGCTGGAAATGTGAGGTAAGTAAGGCTTGTCTGATAGAGCTGCACCCACCTGTGACCACTGACCTGCCCTCAGGCCCAACTCATTCTGTCTCTCTCCCTTGTTCCAGAAAGTCCGTTCTATGTCTTGGTGGAGACCTCGGGTTCCAGTGCGGAGCATGACAGTGCCAAGCTGACCAGCTTTCTAGAGCATGTGCTGGACTCCAGCTTGGTGACTGATGGGTCGATGGCCACAGACCTGAGGAAGATGCAGGTGTTCTGGGGCTGCTGGACACTCTCTGAGACCCCTTTGTTCCCTCTCTTGCCTTGACTAGGGATGCCCAGCACAGAGTGTGGATACAGCTGACACTGACCACATTCCCTTCTAGGCATCTTCCTCCTGCACCTGTTCCCCAGACTGTAGTGCAAAGGGTCGCCAGAAGGGGGTGGGTGGGCAGTGAGCCAGGCAGGTGCTTGACAGGGCAGGCACCTGAGATGGACTGGGGCTGCACTGGGCCCGTTTGGGAAGAGTGGGCAGGCGACAGTCAGGCCCCAGCTGAAGGCCCTGGCTGCTCTAGAGGGTCGAGACCTTCACTTTCTTTCCTGCTTTATTATGAAATGTTTCTCACAGTTAATTTCCTCCTGACGCCATGAGGCCTCCACTCCTGCTCCTGCTCAGATCTGTAGTTCCTCCCTGTTCTTTCCCACCACCCAGCAGTCATGTGATGTCTGTCCACTCCCTCCTCTCCTCCCCACCTGCACCGCCTTTCTGCCCACCTCACACACTAATATCCTGCCATCTCCTTCCTCTCCTGTCTCCCTACTCCTCTTAGGCCCCCCTACCCCTTTCCTCATGTCCCCACTCCCCTTAGGTCCCTGATCCCCTTCTCTCATACTCGCACTTCCCTTAGGTCCTCCCATCCCCTGCCTCTCCCACCCCCCCAACTCCCCTTAGATCCTCCCATCCCCCATCCTTCCAATTCCCCTTAGATCCTCCCATCCCCCTCCTCTCCCATTCCCCACTCTCTCCAGGTCTCCCATTTCCCTCCTCTTACTCTCATTTCTTTCGTGACCCCTTCTCCTCCTGTGTACCCCCACCTCCCTCCTCACTCTCACTCCTCCTGTGTTGTACCCCTCCCCTTACCTGCCCCTTGCACTGAGTGAGCATGTTTTTCAGTGGTCCTGGGGCCGGTCTGTGTCATCTGGCCCCTCTGTCTGCTTCTCCTCTAGGTACCTGCACGCCGTCCATACTTTTTAGTCTCCAGACACACACACCAGCCTTCTTTCCCTGGTTTAGGTGCCTAGACACCCTGGATTTCTGCCTCGCCCTTTGCCCTGCCGAGGCCCTTCCCGCCTCATTTCCAAGTGCTGTCTGACATCCACAAGTACCCCCAGACATGGTCCCCTTCCATAGCGAACTCCTAGTTCCTTTCTAGAACTCTTAGCAGTGGAAGTTGGGTCTCTGATCATGTCCGAGTATCTCATATTTTCTCTTCTTCTTTTGCCATTTACTCTTTGGTTTCTTTCTCAAAAACATCTTCTCCCAACCATTATCAAGCTGTTCTGTTAGGGTGTGTTTAATTTTGATGAGGTCTCTGGCTGTGTGGCTCCTGCTTTTCTGGTTCCTCCTATTGTGTGATGGCAGTGGCCCATGCTGTCTTTCTGGGGATCTGTCCCCTTCATGGCTCCCTGTTCCCCTCTCTGCCCTTTCTCTGCCTCTTGGTTTCTCTCCTCTTGGCTGATGCCTGGCCACTGGTGCCAGCTCACTCAGGTTCCCAAGGGAGCCCTTAAAGGTAGGGGGTGAAGTATGGCAGTCAACAAGGTGTGCGAGATGTGGTGGTGACTGAGGTATCGTGGTGGATGAGGTGTGGGGATGAGAGGTGTGCCATTGGGTGAGGTATGGCTGTGACTGAAGGGTGGCGGTGGGCAAGGTGTGATAGTGAAGAATGACTGGGCTAAGTGTGATGGTGGACAAGGTCTCTCTGCTTGCCTCTCTTTGGAGACAGCTTCTGAGGTCAGCCACAGACCTGGGGGTTCTGTGTATATGTGTGATATGGTATCTGATTCTTACATCCCCTCACCAGGCCCGGTGTCTGCTCTGCCCATACCCTCCTTCTGCTGTCTTGTGCCTTCTGGTGCCCTCTGTTTCTTGATCTCTTCCTATGTTTTCTGTCATGTTTTGTTGGAGGTTTATGAGGGAGCAGAGCTTAGAGTTCTGTTTCAACCAACATCTTTACAAGAAGAAAATTCATCTGCTTAGATGACCAGATGGCTAGACAAATGTGAACGCCTATACTTCTGTCTGAGCACTAATTCCATTATTCTGGATAGTTCTCTTTGCCCCTCGTGTCACCCTGTCCCCAGTTGATGATAGCTGCCATTACTGTGGGCTTTGGAGGTTCCTGGAGGCTGACGCCCCACCTTATTTTCTCACCAGGCACTGTGGGCTTTGCGAGAGAGGATCACTGAAGCCCTGAGCCGGGAGGGCTACACCTACAAGTATGACATCTCTCTGCCCGTGGAGCGGCTCTACGACATTGTGATGGAACTGCGTGCCCGTCTTGGGTCCAGTGCAAAGGCCGTGGTGGGCTACGGCCACCTGGGTGAGCAGGCCTGGAGCTGGGACAGGACACTCCAGTTTGGCGGCTCTGTGCTTGGATGGGTGGTGGGTGCCTCTGCCACATGCCCGCCACACTGATGAGGCAAACTGTCCTGGTTAGAAATGGAATGAGTCTCTCATTTCAAATTCAAGATGGTGCGACAGATTGTTGTACAGTTTAGTGTTGCTGATTGCCAGGAGCTGACTCTGACTAATGGAGTGTGTACACTTGTGGGGTGCAGTTGGGGTTGTCAGGAGCTGACTCTGATTCTAATAGAGGGTGCACACGTGGGGTAGAGTTGGTGTTGTCAGGAGCTGACTGACTAGTGGAGTGTGCACACGTGGGGTGCACTTGGAGTTGTCAGGAGATGACTCTTAACTCTGAGTAACGGAGTGTGCACACATGTGGCGTAGAGTTGGCTTCTTAGTTGCCGAGTCTGAGGGGGCTCTGGTTGCCTAGTGGCAAGAAGCTGCATTGCAGTCCTTAGCTGCTGAGTCTGTAACTGCTCAGTGTGAGAACCCCTTCTGCCGAGTTATCTCTAGGTGGCCATGAACCACCAATCTTATGGTTAGGAGCCAAATGCTTAGCCATTTGTGCCATCTAAGAACTCCTTAAAAATCAGAGTTGACCCTTTCTACGAAGATGGCGCCGAAAGTGAAGAAGGAAGCCCCTATCCCTCCCAAAACTGAAGTCAAAGCAAAGGCATTTAAGGTCAAGAAGGCCATCCTGAAGGGCATCCACAGCTAAAAAAAAAAAAGATCCACACGTCACCCACCTTCCTAAGATGCTGAGACTCCAAAGGCCGCCCAAATACCCCCAGAAGAGCGCCCCCAGGAGAAACAAGTGTGACCACTATGCCATCATCAGATTTCTCCTGACCACTGAGTCAACCATGAAAGATAGAGGATAACAACACACTTATGTTCATTGTGGATGTCAAAGTCAACAAGCACCAAATCAAACAAGCTGTAAAGAAGCTCTATGACATTGGAGTGGCCAAGGTCAACACTTTGATTAGGCCTGATGGAGAGTTGCTTTGGATGTCACCAACAACGTTGGGATCACCTAAACTGAGTCCAGCTGGCTAATTCTAAATACAATTTTTTCACACACACACACACACGGTCAGAGTTGATTGTTAAATACATCCAGTATAATAGAACTAACAAGGGCCTGTCTCCTACGTTGTTAATATGTAAATGATTGTTGTTGGTCTTTTCAAAGTCAAGAGAGTCTTGTCTTCCTGGCATGAGCCCACCTTGATCACGATCTTTTCTGTATGTTGCTTGATTCACTTTATGAATATTCTTTTTCAAATTCTTGCAGGTATCTTTATGGATAATTTACCTTTCTTGCCTGTCTGTGTTGGAATTTGTTATCTAAAAATCATAAAACGATTGGAGGAACTGCCATTCTTCTACAATCTCTGGTGGAATTAGAGTAAATTGGAATCGCTTCTTCCTTGAAGATTTGATCGAATGTACCGGTGGAGGCTTTGGGACGAGAGAGTTTGATTTTTTAGAGATGGGTTGAGGGTGGGCTTCAGAGAAATATATTGGTCTGTACAATTTACTTTTTATTTTAAATTGGTTATAGTAATTGGTTTTAGGAATTTGCCCATACTACAATTTCAAATTGGGAGTTCTGGGGGCCTTGTGGTATCAAATTGTGCTGCAATCCCAAAGGCACACAGTTCGAATCCACCACTTGCTCCACAGGAGAAAGATGGGCAGTCTCCTCCTGTGCAGTTTACTGCCTCTGAAAAGCCCTGGAAGATGAGCTATGCGTCAGTTCCAACTCGATGGCACACAACAAAAACAACAACAATTTCAAATATAGTGGCATAGAATGTTCATGAGAGTCTGTCCCATGTATAGCATCTGTTACTGGTTTTATCAAGTCACCTTGAACTCACAGCACCCTTATGTGTGAAAGAACCAGGCTGTCCTCACTGTTTGCTGAGCCGTTGTTGCGGCCAGCAGTGGTGCAGAGGGCTTCCTTTCGGCTGACTCTTTCTACTTTACCAAATATCTGTTGTGTTTTGTTGTTGTTTTTTAATAAAAATTTTAAATTGTGATTTTAACAAAAATTTAAAGAACAGTTAGGTTTTCATTCATTCATTGTTGCACATTTTACCCCCTCTCCCTCCCATCTCTTTCCCCCAGTTCCCATTTTTTAAAATATTCATTCATTTGTTGCACAATTATCTCCTTTCCCCCTCTCTCCCCAGTCCTCTTTGCAATGTACATTTTATTCTGGGCTGTTGTATGTATAATGCCTAGTCATATATTCCTTTTAAACAATTTTTTTCCTTTATCTGTTCCAATGCAGTGTTCGTTATTAATCCCCACTATCACTACTGATTGGTCTTTCCTGATTGATGGTGTGTCCAAAGGAAGTAAGATGAAGTCTCACCATACTGCTTCTAAGGATTATTGTATTTCCTCTAGGATGGCTTTATTCATTCTTTTGACAGTCCATAGTATACTCAGCATTCATCACCAACAGTATTGAAATGTGCCCTTTCCCCTTGTCTGGTTTTCATGTGTGTTTGAAGCATTTGGAAGTGCCATGGCTTGGCCCAGGGACAGCTCTGTCACTTGGTGATGTACCTCTCTACTTCCTAACATGGTCCCCCGCCCCCTTTCTTTTCCTCTTGATCAGGACTTTCAGTTCTGTGATCCTTTCAAAGAATCAGCACTTGGCTCTGTTGGTTGTTTCTATTGTATGTTTTTAGCCCCCCAATTTAATTAATTATTACTAATATTTTAATTATTTCATCTTCATTTTACCAAAAATAAGCAAAACTTTTTATTGTTATTTGAGTGCAGTTGACTCATTGGGATACTATTCCGTATCTCCTACAGCTTATTTTCCCTGACATTGACCTCGATGTTCACATCATCTGCCCCACCACATGTCCTATGTTCTTGTGTTCCCCATGCCCATTAGTCCTTCTTCCTTGTCCTGTGCAGATGACGATCTATCTTTGCTTTTCCTCACTCTTCTTTGTTCCAGATCTTCTTGTTGTTGTTATGTGCCATCAGGTTGCTTGTGACTCTTAGCGACCCTATGTACAAGAGCCCTAAACCCTACTCTATCCTGTGCCAACTTCACTGTCTCTGACACACCTACTCCCACCACCCCAATCACTGTATCAGTCTATCTTATCAAGGGTCTTCTCTTGCACTGTCCCTCCACTCTCCCAAACATGATGCCCCTCTGCAAGTACTGGTCCCTCCTTGCAACATGCCCAAAGTATGTCAGACAAAACTTCAGAATCCTTTCCTCCAAGGAGCAGCCCAGTTTCACCCTCTTGGACAACAAACTTGTTTGTTCTCCTAACAGTCCATAGTATATTCAACCCTCTTCTCCAGCACCATTGCTCAAAAGTATCAATGCTCTTTCGATCATCCCTAGTCACTGTCCAGCTCTCTGACACATAGCTCAACAATTGCGAAGACTATAGCCCGGATTAGGGGCACCTTAGTCTCCAGACTAACATCATTGCTCTTCTGTACTCTGAAGAGGTCTCTGACAGCTGACTTTGCTGATGTTGTTTGTTTTTATGTGCTGTTGAGTCGCTTGCGACTCATAGCAATCCTATGTACAATAGCTCTAAACTCTGCTCTGTCCTGTGCCAATCGCACTGTCTCCGACACACTCATCCCGATTATCCGAGTCGCTGAATCAATCCACCTCATAGAGGGCCTTCCCCTCCTGCGCCTGCCCTCCACCCTCCCAAGCATGATGCCCTTCTCCAAGGACCGGTCTCTCCTTACAGCATGACCAAAGTATGTCAGATGAAGCCTCAGAATCCTTGATAGAGAGCATTAAAAATGTTGATTCCGTTCTGTTTTAAAGTTTATAAGTTACACCTTTAATTCACTGGATTTTCTGCTTGCCTTTTCTCCTATTAGAATCCATATCTTTGTTGTTGTTGTGTGCCGTTGAGGCAGATTCAACAGGCACAGGAGGAGACTGCCTTTCCTTCTCCAGTGGAACGTCTGGTGGATTTGAACTGTGTGCCTTTGGGATTGCAGTGCAGCTTCTTCACTAGGTTACCAGAGCTCCCTTAAGAATCCATATCTTTACGTTTCCCTTTTAATATCATGTTCCTTCAAGTTTCTAGAGTTGGCACTTTTGGCAACTTAACTTATTTTTATTGTCATTGAGAATATACACAATGGAACAGACATCAGTTAAGCGCTTTTTGCATGTATAATAACTCAGTGACAGAGATTACTCTCTTCTCTCTCACCCTTGTTTTCTGAGCCTTTTCTCCTCCATGAGCATAAACTTACTGCTCCCTAAGTTTCTTTCTAATCTTTCAGGGTGCCATTGTCTGTCTGATATCATATGGACAAGTCTTAAAAGCCCTGATACTCAAGGCATACCTTTTTTTTTAATTGGGAAAAAACATTGGGGATACAAGGAAGGGAGGGTTGGGTGCAGAAGGGTGAGGATGGGCAGGGATGCAGTTGGAGAGCTGCAGAAATTGGTTGGTGGGGGGAGCAGGTGAAGGAAATGAAAAGGATCCAGTAGATACCAGATGCTACAGGAAAATGACAAGCATTTTCCAATGGTAGTTAAATCAACTGTCTTACTGATTTGGGAACTGGATGCCGACTCTGGCTTCTTCATGCTGAACAGGGGTGTTGATGTGAAGGGGGGAAGGGAGGACGCTTTATCACCTTACTGGAGAACTTGGGTTAAGGCTGCTTGCCTTCTTGTTCTGTTAGAAGATATTTTCCTGTCATTTTCTCCCCTCTGGACTGCAAAGTGTTTTCCCAGGCGTGTCCAGTGGGGATGGCTGGTTGAACCCAGAGGCTCCATCCTCCTTTGCTTCTTTAGCTGGCAATTGTATTTCCTTTTTGTCACTGGCACTGGGTTCTGGGTCAGGTCTGAAGTAAAACTCAGTGGTAAGATTACCTGTAGGAAAGGGAGCAAACCTAGAGAGAACAAACTTGTGAGTTACAAATAGAGGGGTTTTGGGGGTGTTG